CTCCTCCTCCTTCTCCTTCTCCTCTTCCTCCTCCTCTTCCTCCTCCTCTTCCTCCTCCTCTTTTCCTCCTCCTCCTCTTTTCCTCCTCCTCCTCCTTCTCCTCCTCCTCCTCTTTCTTCTCCTTCTTCTTTTTTAACTTGAATTTGCTTAAGTAACAGAAACCAACAGGTCTTTTTTGTACGCTTCTGTGCTTCTCCTAATCATAGTATGTTCATACTTGTATTTAATGTTGTGTGGGTTCTGCTGAATGAAAACCTTGCAGATTCCTAGGCTGGAGAGATGGCTGAACACTGCTGCTCCACAGTGCAGCTCAGCACTGGCTGCTCTTTCAGGGAACCTGAGCTTGGTGCCCAGCACCCACGTGGCAGCTCAGAACCCTGATCCAGGGATCTAACACCCTCTTCTGCCCTCCTTGGGCACCAGGCACATATGCAGTATACATACATACAGCAAGCAGAACACTCAAGTACATAAAGAAATATTTTTTAAAAACATAAAACCTTTCTATCCCTAAAGAATCTTGTGCTGTGCGTCTTCATACAGCTCCTGATAATCCTGATATTATGATAAGAGAAAATTAATCCATGCAGAAATGGTGTCTTACAAGGGTCATCTGACCTTTTTCAGGGCAGTGTCCAGCCAGGGGCTTGTCTCTTAGCTCTTGATTCTTGTCTTCTGCAATGGCACTCAAGGGCTGAAGTGACTGAGTTCTCTTACTGTTCATTCCTCAGAGCCTGGAAATTACCAAGAATTTTCTGGTGTTGTTTGGTTGATTTAGTTATACTTTATGCCTAATAGTCCAGACTGCTAATGAGCCATGATTTGGAGAACTAGGCATTGTGACGTAAGGAAGTCTGGAATTGGGGGTGGGTGAGTGGGGGTGTGGTCAGTGGTTTAAGAGGTTTCATTAGCTTCTGTCAGAGGGAAATGGCAACAGACTAAATTAAATTTAGGGAAAGTTAGTAAATCTTGAGCATTTGTTACAGAATTCTTCAAAATGTGTTTTCTAAGACATGAGAACATTTTTATACCCTTCAGATCTATAACGCTTATATATCTTGTCTTTGGTTGTGCTAATTGCAAATTTATTTATATTTTCTCTGGTAAATACATCTTAACTGCATGGTAGCCTGGGTAGGAGGCAGCTGTGCTTGCTGGTCTATGCCATAGCATGCCTGAAGGTTCTAGCAGGTATGCCGGTATGTACTTATGTTCCCCGAACCTGAGATTAGAGCAGGATCATGATTTGAGGTTGGCCTTGGTGACTCATGATTTGAGGGTGGTTCTATAATAAGACACCCTATCTCAAAACAAGCAACAACAACAGAATACATAAACACCAAAGTGAATGTTGGATGTTCTTTTCATCAGTGGGACATGGGAGTGGTAATAGCAATTAGTTCTGTGGTGCTAGTAAACTTCTTACTTCTTGCCTTAGATTTTGCTACTGTTTACTTGCTCCCAAGGTATCTAAAAGGTGGGTCTTGGAAAATAGAACATACAGATGTTAGTGTTGGAAGATGGACTCCCTGCAAGAATCGTTTTTGTCAGGATTCTGGCCTTGTGCAACGAATCTAAAGTAGATCCATTTCATCTGCCAGGAGGTAGGGTGGCCTCCTGAAGCCTCAATAAATAAAAATGCTTTCTGTTTATCCTGCTCAGTGTGTTTCCTGTAACAAATCCTTCAAGAAACTCTGGTCCCTTCATGAACATATCAAGATTGTCCATGGATATGCAGAAAAAAAATTTGCCTGTGAGATTTGCGAGAAGAAGTTCTATACCATGGCTCATGTACGGAAACACATGGTTGGTGAGTCTCCACCCCTATGTTCTCCACCTGTGGACTCCTGGAGTCCTCTGTGCTCCACACTGGGCAGGATATATAGAGCCAGCATGCCGTAGTCGGTTTTAGCTTGTTGAGACTGCATGTAGCTTGTCTTTAGTAAGCAGGACCAGGTTGGACAGTGTAGTCTTCCCTACCTAGACATCTTTTCCATTAGTGCTGTTTGTTCTCTCTTTGAAGCATTACTGTCAAAAGTGAGAGGTCGAAATTAAGACAGCATAGTTTCCTCACCTTATGGCATCTGTCTTGACCAGTCTGAGGGTTTTGGTGGAATTGTGTTGAGTTTAAATGCATTCTGTATTACAGCACACACAAAAGACATGCCATTTACATGTGAGACCTGTGGAAAGTCTTTCAAGCGCAGTATGTCACTCAAGGTGCACTCCTTGCAGCATTCTGGAGAGAAACCCTTCAGGTGTGAGGTAAGGGACGGGCTACACCCAGGCCCAGTCCACAGCTAGGGTTGTGTGGATGACAAAGCAGGGAGATGGAGTGCGGGTGCAGAGCCCAAAGCTGTGCCACACTGGAGCTCCCGGCATGCCCAGTGTCTGGTGGTCTCTCACTGCTGAGAAGAGAGATGTCCCATCAGGACCCGGTTGAGTCTCTTAGGGGTAACTTGAGTGATTTGCAGTAGCTGATCTTTCTCAGTGATTCAGAACAGTTGAGTATGAGCCAGAATAATTACATGAGAAATTCTCCCTTGTATTCATAACTCAGCTGCAGGAACATAGTGAATACAAACTGCCGCCATAAGCAGGCTGTGTTTTGAGGAAGAGAAGAAACCTATAAGCTTCTGAGGGTGGACTAGAGTGATGTTTCTGAGCTTGGCAGCCATCACTGTCCTCTGTGTCCACTGCAGAACTGCGATGAGAGGTTCCAGTACAAGTACCAGCTCCGCTCCCACATGAGCATCCACATTGGGCACAAGCAGTTCATGTGCCAGTGGTGTGGCAAGGACTTCAACATGAAGCAGTACTTTGATGAGCACATGAAGACGCACACTGGTAAGTTCTTGGTGAAGGTGGACGTAGCCCCCAGTGCTTGTTGGTAGCCCTCTGCTGGTCTGTCTTTAAATCCAACCATAAATTTGCATTATGTTCCAGTTTTGTTTTGTTTTATCTTGAGATGAAGTCTTGCTATGTAGCCCAGGATGGCCTCAGACTCACAGCAATCCTCCTCTCTTAGTCTCCCAGGTGCTGAAGTCCAAAGTGTATACCACTATGACTGGCACACATTTGCAATTGTAATCTTGCTTTAAGTAAGCCTGAGATATATAAATAAATGTAATACCAAAATTTTCTCTTTTATAACTATTTTTAAAAGAATTATTTATGTGAATGCCTTTTGTGTTTTTTTTATTTTGTTTTTTTGAGATAGACTATTATTGTATCACAAGCTGCTCTGGAACTCATAGTAATCCTCCTGCCTTCTGCTCCCATGTGCTAGGATTACAAATGTATGCTACCATGCCCAACTGTAAATTTGTTTGTTTTGTTTTGTCTTATTTTCTGAGACATGGTATCTTTGTAGACCAGGCTGTCCTTTTCTCTACCTCTGGAGTTAAAGCTGGGTTAAAGGCATTAAAGCCTTCTTGATATTCTCAGAGTTGATTGGATTTGATTTCCAAAATTCACTACCTCTCAGGAAGACAGCCATTAAATGGAGTTAAATAAATTTTAACTCTCTCTTCTCTCTCTCTCTCTCTCTCTCTCTTTCTCTCTCTCTCTCTATGTATGTATGTATGTATGTATGTATGTATGTATGCTCCATAGCATTGATAAGGGGTCTTATAAACATTTAACTATCCAGCCTTTGGAGAACTGGCTAGAATATAACAGCTCCTTTTACAAACACTGGTACTATCCACAGCTGACCTTGGTACTCTACCAACTGGACTGTATCTGTGGCTCCAAAAATTTTAGTTTGTGTTTATTCTAGTTATTATGTAAAATTTTATGATCAATATTCTTTGGCCAATAGGCAAGGAATGTTTCTTCCAAAAGAATACAATTAATTCACTTAGATTTTTCTCTTACCCATTATCAGAGTAACACATACTTTTCTGGTTAAAATATATCAAGAAGGCTTTAATGCCTTTAACCCAGCTTTAACTCCAGAGGTAGAGAAAAGGCCAGAAATGGCGGCACATGACTTTAATCCTAGCACTTGAGAGGCAAAGACAGGTAGATCTCTGTGAGTTCAAGGCTAGCCTGCTCTATATAGCCTGCTATGAAAATTAGGAACTGAATAAAATCTCATCATGGAGAGAGCAATGACATTTAATCAAATAATAACATTTTGGTTGATTTAACCTATTTTATTTTTTTTAAAGATTTATTATTTTTATTTTATGTGTATGAGTGTTTTTGCCTGCATGTATATATGTGCACTGTGTGCATGCCTGATGCTCTTGGAGGCTAGAAGAGGGCACCAGATCACCTGGAACTGGAATTAAGCATATTTGTAAACTGCCATTTGATGTCTGTTAACTGAACCTGGGTTCTCAGCAAGAACTAAGGCTTCTTAGCCACCAAGGTATCTCTCCAGCCAAGATTTAATCTCTATATAAAAAAATTCTAAGAGTGTAGCCCAGCAGTACAGCATTGCTTATCAAGTGCAGATTCCATTGCCAGCATCACAAGCAAAACACAACTTTCAGTTCTTAATATTGTTATAGGCAAGCACTATGCCTAAAATGTTCATGTGTTCATGTATATGGTACATTTGGCTCTTTGTAGTCTGTTGTAATCGTCTTTTATGTATTTAATTTTAGATTAAGTAAGTTTATGTGTTTAACTGTTTTGCTTGCATATTTGTATGTGTACCATGTGCATGTTTGGTGCTTTTGGAGGTCAAAAGAGGATATTGAATCCTCTGGAACTGGAGTTCCAAGTGGTTGTGAGCCACCATGTGGTACTGGGAATCAAACCCAGCTATCTGGAAGAGCAACAAGTGCTCTTAACTACTGGGCCCCTCCCCCACAACATGATTTTTAACCTACAATGGTGATACACATGCTTTAATCCCTGCACTTGGGAGGCAGAGGCAGGCAGATCTCTGAGTTCAAGTCTAGTCTGGTCTACAGAGGAAGTTCCAAGACAGCTAGGACTACACAGAGTCTCAAAACAAAACCAAATAAAAACAAAAACAAAACAAAAAACTGGGAAAGCAACTAACTGGCTGGTAGATTTGAACAAACCTTATTAGTAGAATTGTACAACCTTAGTTGGCCTCTAGTTCCATGGTATTAAATATGAATGACTGTAGTAGTATCTGTGAGAGGAGACGATAAGAGAGCTTTAGAGAGGAGAAGAGAGAAAGGCTGGATGAAGTGACAGTTATAGCAGCAGTCTGATTGGGTGGGGATCATGCCTGTTGTAGAAACTGGCATTGATTGAGTTGTCTCTTTGCAGTTAAAGAGAAGTAAGGCAGACCTTACCTAGGGAAGCTGGCCACCATCAGGCAGGGTTCCTAGTATAGTCTGAGCACAGGGTAAGTTCAAAACAGAATATTTGCTGATTGTCCTTTTACCACATGCATAAGGACAAAAGATGAATGAAGACCTGGTTTCTGCCCTGTAGAAGTCCATGGTCCACAGAATAACAGCAGTGATAATACAGTGACAGAGAGGGTACCACACACTGAGCACTGTGTTCTGAGTGCTGCTCTAAACCCTGGCCTCTGTAGGGGTTGTTATCTTTATTTTTCTCATGAGGAAGCTGAGGCTAAAAGAGAAAATAATTTGCTCCAGGCAGCCTTACTCTGGACACTTGGTGATTCTGTTGTAAATTTAATGTAGCAAGTAATAAAACAGGTTATATAGGCCATCATAAGCGTGGCCAGCATCATCACAGGGTCTGAGTCTCAAATTTGTTCACTGTGCTCAGCAGCTCAGGGTCAGAGGTTCTTATGTGTGCTACATGATCCTGATGATAGTAAATTGCTTGTTTATTATTTATGAATGGCAAGTAGTTTGGAAGGCTTAGTATTATTATTGTTGTTATTATTTAATGTGTATGAATGTTTTGCCTGCCTGCATCATATGCTTGCCTGGTGAAGAAGCCAGAAGAGGGTGTTGGGTCTCCTGGGACTGGAGTTATAGATGGTTTTGAGGCACCATGTGAGTTCCAGGTCCTTTGGAAGAGCAGTCAGTGCTCTTAACCACTGAGCCATCTCTCAGCTCAGGTTTGTTTATTTATTCCTGTCCTAGGGACTGAACTTAGGGTCTTGGCATGTGCTAGTCAAGTTTTCTACCACAGAGGTGCATCTCCACCCCAGACTGGAACTATTCATACCTTTTGGTCAGCATTGTTTGCCTAAATATAGGATGCCTATTCTATATTAGAAGCTGAATTATGAGAAGATTGCCAGGGATAGAGAATTAGCAAAGGAAGGTAATGTAACAACTCAAGTGGTGATCACCATACTTCATTCAATCTAGGTAGCCATCAGTTGTAAAATCAATTTATATGCTGCTAAGAAAATGTTGTAAATTAAACAATGTACATTAATTCAATGGCCATTGATTATAAGGTAAATGACAGTTTCAGAAGCATTAAAATGTGGGAAGAAACAAGAAGATTTTAAAATATATTTATAAATATTTATAAGAAGGCTGGAGAGATGGCTCAGAGGTTACGAGCACTGACTGCTCTTCTAAAGGTTCTGAGTTCAATTTCCAGCAACCACATGGTGGCTCACAACCATCTGTAATGGGATGCAATGCCCTCTTCTGGTGTGTCTGAAGGGAACGACAGTGTACTTTGACAGTATAGTCACACTAAATAAATTAACTCTTCTGGGTGTGTGTGAAGATAGATCATTCATGTACATATAAATAAATAAATATTAAAAATATATAAGAGCCTACTAAGGCTAGGCATGGTGGTACACAGCTTTAATCCTCCAAATTTAGGATGCAGAGTCAGGCAGATATTGGCTTGAGGGCAGCCTGGTCCACATAGTGAGTTCTAGAACAGCTAGAGTTGCATAGAGAGACCCTGTCTCAGAAAAACCAAAAGCCAACTCTAAATGAAGCTAATGTGGTAAGCAAGATGGAGATAGCCCTTAGGTCTACCATGCTTATACTCAGGCTGAGTGGAGGTGTAGCTGAGCGGCGTCACTGAGGTAAGTGTCATGGATGTGTAAAGAGGCAAGAAGTAGAAGACATGGTGCTGGAGAGCGTCGTGTACAGAGACTAGCAGAAGGAATCTTTTAGACCGAGTGTGAAACCTTTGGACTTAAAGAACAGTGAGTAGTGAGTGGCTTTATGTTGTATGTGCCCCAAGTGTTTTGAGAGTTTGCTTTGGCTCCAGTGTGGATAGTGAGGGGATCAAGAACACAGATGGTAAAACCAGTTAGATGAATTAAGGGTTAGTTTCAGGACCTTTAGAAGAATAGTATTCAGGTAGAAAATAGAGAGTGGAGTAGTTTGCTAGGTAGGATAATGAATTTAACTTTCTTTTGTTAGTTTTGAGATCTCTGGGACATGCAAGTGGAAATATCCAAGAAGCAGTTTGAGGAAGGATTTAAAGCTCAAAAAGGCTTCCATGAGATGGACGGGTGGACCTATGATGCTGCCCAAAGATACTCCTGCTGCATGTCAGGAGTGCTTAGGTGTGCAGGACGGACTGCTCTTCCCTGTGCACAGTGCCAAAGATAACCACCCGAGCCCTGTCCTCTTCTGTCTTGCCCGTAGATTCTTTTCATTTACGGTGCCCTTCTCTAAGCTTTATAGTACTGCTTTTTAGAGCTGGGTCAGCTCTGTCTGGTGGACAGGTCTCTAGATGAGCTAATGCACGTGCTTTTCTGGTTATCGTGTAACTTTAGCTGTTCTTGTATCTTCCAGCTCATGTTTCCCAACTGTCTTTAAAGCAGAGCAAGATACAGTGGCTGACTTCAAATGTTACATTTTATTTTATCCTAAATTTCAGAGTAACCTTAACATTAACCATTAAGCACAGTTAGGCAGTGGGGCCAAATAAATAGTGAGTCGGAGGTGGGTAGGGTGATGGGTTTATGTCAAGTGAAGGCATGGGGAAGAAATTATTAAGAAGTAAGTAAAAGATTATTAAATTCAGTAAGACTTTTGCTTGAATCATTAGATTTGTAATCGTCCTTACTTCCTTTGGGGCGCCCTATGGCGAGTCACATAGCCCAGGAGATTGTGAATGGACATGATCAAAGAGGTCTTGAGAGGTGAGCATGTTCTGTTGAGTGAACATTCAGTATCTGCTGCTTGTGAGTGAAGTGTGTACAAGGTCAGTTAGTTGGGTAGAGAAGCAGTTGCCCTCGCTGGACTAGTGGGTCAGAGACTGGGGTCTTAGGCTGCTTCCCTGTGGCTGCTGCAAGTGAAGACACTGACTTCGATAGAAAGGACAGGAGTTCAGGGCTTAAGAAGTTAGCAAACACCTGTGCTTTTAAATATTTTACTAGGAAACAATCTTGCTTTCCAGAACTCAGGAGGCTTTGTGGTGAGTTTGAGGCCAGTGTAGATTGCATACTGATTACCAGGCCAGCCTATCTGAAAACAATTAAGCATTTTATTGAATAAGGAAGTCATGTTTATTTCAGCAAAAACAGAAGTACAGACAAGTATTAAAAATAAGGATGAGACCTGGAGCTCAGTGCTAAGAGCACTTGAAACACTTGCAGAAAGCCTGGGTTCAGTTCCCAGCACCCATATTTTGGGTTTAGTCACAACCTTTTGTAACTACAGTGCAGAGGATCTGGTACCATCTTCTGGCCTCCATGGATACCAGGCATGAATGTGGATTATACATACAGGCAAAACCCTTACACACATAAGAACTAATAATAAAAAATAAGGCTGAGTGTGGTGGTGTACACCTTTAATCCCAGCACTTGGAACTCAGAGGCAGGTGGATCTCTGTGAATTTCAGGCCAACTTGGTCTACAGAGGAAGTTGTAGGCCAGCCAGGGCTACATTGTGAGATGCTGGAGAGAGGTGGGGGTGGGGGGAGAGAGAGAAGGGGAGGGGAGGGGGAGAGGGGGAGAGGGAGGGGAAGAGAGAGAACACAAATGAACCATCTGTAGTTCTGTTACCTACATTGTGAGATGCTGTCAAGAAAGAAAGCCATGTGGAATTCTGTTGCCTAGAAGTAATCTTAGCAATACAGTGTATCTCTTTCCATCTATTTCCTGTGTATATCTTACATCAGAGTGGCTAATGCTACGCACATACTTCCATAATGTGCTTGTTTTACTTTACTAATAGATTATAGACGTCTTTACACAGATTGAATGTTGATAGTTACATTTCTATACTATATACAGTTGTTTCCAGTGGCAGTTCTCTCAGACAGATTGAGGGTTTGTTTGTTTGTTTGACTGTTGAGTGCAAATATTTATTTGGGGGTGGGGATGAACGTGTACCGTGGAGCATTTGTGGTCAGGGAACCCAGGTGCTCAGGCTAGGCAGGCAGCAAGTGCCTTCACCCACTTCTCACTGGCCATATTTGAGGTGTTTAAGATAATTAAAGGAAAACTGAACATAGCGACACAAGCCTATAATACCAGCACTTGGGAGGCGGAGGCATGAGAATTAGAAGTTCTAGGTTATCCTTTGGTACATAGGACATTTAAGGTGTGATTCTGGGGTGCACAAGACTCTGTCTCTAAAGGGGTGGGGGAGATGATTAGAGGAGTCAGGTGCTTGTGGTTTATACCTGTAATCCCAACATTGTGGAAGCTGAGGTAAGAGATCTTGAGTTCCAAGCCTAAGATTCATAATGAAACCTTGTCTCAAAATAAAAGAAAGTAAAATAAAATAAAATGGAAAAATATAAAAAAATACAAAGAAAAGATAGGAAGAAATGGATTAAAAAGGAGACAAGATAGGCTCAGAAGTCAACCAGAAAGATGTGTCAGTCATAGGGAGGAAAGGTCCTTCAGCAAAGGGTAGCTGGCCCCAACTGACTCTTGAGTTCTCTCTCTTAGGAATTGTATAGGTGGATGGGTAGGGTAGGGGTCTGGATTCTGTGGAAGAAGGCAATAGAAGATCCACTTTCTTCTAGAATAGGAAAGAGATCCAGCTTTCTTCCAGACTAAGAGAGAGATTGAACTGTGGTGTGGGTAAAGAAGTATTTGCTCCTGGTTATGGGAGTTACAGGAAAACAATGTAAGAAAATGGATTCTTTGATGCATGCAGGAATAGGGCAGGAAGTGCTGTAGATTCTGTGGGCAGAGCAGATTCTGGGAGCTGGACTTCCGTGTCCCTAACTTTGTGCTTAACAGGTCACCTTGGGCAAGACATTATCCCTCAGACAATAGGGATAGTGTGGTGAGAATGGAAAGCTACCAGATGTAGTGATTGGAATAGAGCCAGGTTCCCTGAATAAGTCTTAATACACAGTCTTGAGTGTGTTAGCTTGTTGCAAGGGAATGGGGTGGTAGCTGAAGTCACAGTGAATTGGCATGTGAAGTGGTTAAATTTCAGACAAGGTATCCATAGGCCACAGCCACAGGGCATGCCACACCTGCAACATCCACTAATTTCCCTCCTCTTTTCCTACCAGAATGGTAGCTTATAAGTTGTATTTGTGCCTGCTGCGACATGTAAAGTGTCAGTTTGGGAGACAAAATGCTGCAGGGAGATCATGATTGGCAGGGGCCCGTCTTTATACCCGGAACACTAACCCTGTTTATCTGTGCTCATCTAGGAGAGAAACCTTTTATCTGTGAAATCTGTGGCAAAAGCTTCACCAGTCGACCCAACATGAAGAGGCACCGCAGAACTCACACAGGCGAGAAGCCCTACCCCTGTGATGTGTGTGGTCAGCGGTTCCGCTTTTCCAACATGCTAAAGGCCCACAAGGAGAAGTGCTTCCGAGTGACCAGCCCAGTGAATGTGCCACCAGCTGTCCAGATCCCACTGGCCTCAGCTCCAGCTGCTCCCGCTCCAGCCGTGGCCAACACTCCCACCAGCCCAGCCCCTGCAGTCAGTATGAACCCTGTGGGTGGCGCGCTTCCCTCAAGACCTGTCCCGCACCCGTTCTCGCACCTGCACATTCACACACATTCACACCACCCGCACCACCTCCCCATTCCTCCTGTGCCTCACCTGCCCCCACCTCCAGCCCTCTTCAAGAGCGAGCCCCTAAACCACAGAAGCCAGAGTGAGGACACCTTCCTCAGGCACCTGGCAGAGAAGAACAGCGCAGCCCAGGCCCAGCATCATTAGCACCAGCCAGTGTCCTCCCATGGTGAGTTGGCAGAAGGGGTGCAGCTGTACTTCTCTGGGGTCTTCCTGTCTCCATGGCCTCCTTCAGGGCCTTCACCATTGTCCTGGTGAGCCGTCAGACTGACCTGAGGGAGTGAGGAAGAAGACTGCCCTTGAAACCAGGGGAACCACCGAACTAAAGCCCAATTTGCTTGCATTTTCTGATGACTTTTATAAATTTCAGATACTGTGACTGTGGGATTTTATAATTTCATATCAGCGGATGAGGTATGCTTGCTTTTATATCCCGGTCTTCTCCTCAAAGAGGAGACGGGCCTGGTTTCCTTTATACTAATCGGGAAGGCTGTGAGATTTACCCGGAGCATTAACTGCATCACTGTGTATTGTAATGAATTCTTTCCAGCTTTTGGTGCTGGCTGCAGAGTCGGGCTGGCCGCGGTTCACACACTATCAAGCATTATAGAGAAGATGGGAATTTTCTTCTTTGTGTAGCTCTTTTAACACACTCTTTATTTTACTACAGAAATTATTTTAGAGTTTTTGTATAGACTTTAGTAGTCTGTTTCTAAAATGAGATGTATTTCAATAAGCTGTGTAATTTTTTCAGTGTAGCTAAACCCATGTTGTAAAATAGATAAATTTTTATAATCATCAAAATGTGATTCTTAAAGATGCATATAATAACTTCTATTTCAAATGTATTCTTACATCTGTACAACTCAAAGGTGCTTCTGAGACTGGATGTATCTGAGCAGGTCACCAGACCTACAAAAGCAAGGTTCAGTACAAAGTTAGCCCTCAGTGAATCGAAAGTCTCAGCTGGGCATTCAGTCCATTGGGCTCACTGATACACCCATCATTGGTGTCCCTTTGAGCTACACTATGGATTCACTGGGGTGGTGCGAGGGAATGGGGTCACCCAGAGTTAGCCGGGTTTGCAAATGTGAATGGCGTTTGTGAGTGAATACCCTCAGGAGGACTGGCAGAGGCCAGAGGCTGTACCTTGGATCACATCTGTTTCTCGCTTTTCTTAGGAACCTTGTTGTGCTCAGCTGTTAGGGGAAGACAAATTGGAATCTCTTACTTGAGGTTCCTGTGTTTTCCAAGAGTTGTTAGAAGAAGCTAATATGGCGAACTGAAATCATAAACATAATTGCTGATAGTGACTGAGAAATGTGGGTGAGAGGACAAGCTGGCTTTTGTGTTTTAAAACGTCTGCAGTCTCTAAAATGTGGATGTCCACAGCTGACAAGTATCTGCCACTTAAACTGTAGTGAGAGGAAACCCTCGATACTGCTGCCTGCCTCGGCAGAGGAGGGAGACCGCAGCATGTTAGGTGAGGAGTGGCAGCTTACTCGGTCAAGATTTAGGGCACTTCCACAGAGCGTGGTCACCTGGAGTGGATTATATGGAAGGCCAGAGAGAGGGGCTAACATGGTGTTTTCAGTCAGCTGCCGTGTACACGGTACAGCTACATGTTCTATGCTCTTCTCAGAAGCTGAGTTCCAAGAATGGCCACTGCCTTCCTCCTCTCCTCATCTCTCTACCCTCAGGCTCTTAAATCAGAACCTTAGCTGTTATTTATTTATCTTTGATATTAAATGTGCAGATATGCGTCACGCACTTTTTTTCTGGCTACTTAACTCTGCAGTGGGGACACACGGACTCTGGACTGGGGTTAGGGTCCTGCTTTTAAGTATCACACTCTAAATTAGTTTTTTTGGTTTACTATTTCTATATTTACTCGAGTTTTGTCCTTGTCTTCTGTAAACATAGGAAAAATTGTGTGCCGAGTCAGGAAAGTATCTCAGGACACACTTTCCCTACAGTTTCTAGCTATGAATTATAATGAATGGTATTTTTAATATTTGCATACATTCTTGGAGCCCTCACATACCCAAGGCAAACAAGGAAGCAGATTCCTTTTTTGAATGTCGTGACTTAGAAGTCACCCTTCCCCCATTTACCTCCACAGCCTCCTTTGCATCCTGTGAGAAGTCTGCAAATCCACACTTTCATCTAGATATATCAATATTTCATGGTTAAGCCTATAATATTAAAATATTTTTATCAAAAAGGTATAAATTGTAGCTAAGTTAATTGGTTATACCTTATTTTATACTAAATGACTTTACAATATGAGGCAGAGGTTCTGAATTCTAGACTTGAGGCTGTTGAATTAAAACCGTTCTATGGTTATACTATGAATTATCATTGAAAAATTCAGGTAGTCAGTTCTGACTTCTTTATTCAAATGACTATAGCCATAAGAAACTGTCCTCCACATAGGAAACCCAATAGCAAGTCAGTAAGCATCACCATCCTTAACAGAAGCAGAAAGAAAGAATTCAAACAGTGACTTGTCCCTACCACACTCTGTCCTTCTTACTGAAATGTGGGGCAGTGTAGAAATGCCAACTTGTTTTTTTTCTCTGGATAAGTATATCTTCCCTGACTTGAGAAGCCAGCTCTAACAGATGACTCTCAAGTGTCATGTACAAATAATGGGCATATGCATAATGAGATCTATAACAAATGCTTCTGAGTCAGAAACCACAGGATCATGCCTTAACCGTGCAGGCGCGTCAGCTTTAACGTGCTGAAGACTCACACTCAGGGCTGACAGTGTGCTTGGGGTCTGCTAGCTTCTAAGGTAAAAGCCTCAGTGTGTGCTGTGCTCGCCACATATGCTGAGGTGCCCCACGAGTTCTGCAGAACCTGTTCCGTTCTTTTGCCTGTCTAAGAAAGAAGACTGTGGAAGAGTTGTAGGCCCGTCTGTACTGCTGTCTCATAAACACATCACCATGTTTTAGAATACAGACTTTAAATCAAGGCTTTCTCATGACGACAGTTTGTACTATCTTCAAAGGCTTTTGTTGTTGCAAGGATTACTTACTTACTTATGTAGACCAGGCTAGCCTTGAATTCACAGCCTAAGTGCTGAGTCTAAAGGAGAGTTACTTCCAACGACCAGCCCATCCAAGAATTTTGTTGTTGTTGGGGTTCTTGTTCTTTCTCTCTTTCTTTTTTCTCTCTCTCTCTCCCTTCCTTCCTTCTTCCCTCCTTCCCTCCTTCCATCTCTCCCTCCCTCCCTCTCTCCCTTCCTTTCTTCCTTCCTTCCACCTTCCCTCCCTCCCTCCCTTCCTTCCTTCCTTTCTTTTTCTTCCTGTTTTGAGAATCTCTCACTAAATACCTAAGCTGGAGCTGAACTCCCCAGGGATATGGACCATGGTTAGCCTCAAACCATGACTCCCCCCACCTCAGCTTCCCAAGAGCTCGGCTTATGGGTACCTGCCCCCCCCACCCCCCACCTGGCTTCCACAAGAATGTTTTGTGTCGGCATTACAGTTTTGAAGGTTGAGTTGTGCATCTCGTTTTCTTCTCATAGATTTATCATTTGTATACAAACTTTTTTAGCCTAATGAAAGCCTGCTGCTCTCAAATTGAGTCAGGCTCATACTGGGTTAGATTTTAGACCTGAATGAAAAGAAGAGGAACCATTTAAAGGCATGTGGCTTCTTTTTTTGTATATTATTTTGACTTGATTCTTATTTTTAGCAAATGGGGAAGTCTCCACATAAAACTTTAATAAGGTTCAAAGAAACATTTGAAAATCATTTCCAGGTACTGTCTTAATAGCCCTCAGAAGCAATCCTTCAGCGTGGACCTTTCCAGAGCCGTCAAGTCTGAGACCCTCATCTGTCAACAGCATCTTTCTGAGCTAGCCCCCAGCCCATACACCCCACCCCCACTACTTCTAACCAGAGGCAAAATCTTTGAAGTTTTGAATTTTTAACTTCTTGAAAATCTTTTTCAGTTTTCTTATTGTTTAGTAGATATATGTTAAGTTTCATTTTTATTTCCCTGGAAGATTTAAATTTTGAGACAATGAAGCAGAGAAAGAGCTCCACTGCAGAGGCATGTTTGTGTGTGCACGCGTGTGTGCGTGTAGACATGTGCTTGCACTCATGAATGTGCACATACATATATATGACTCTAGTCCTTCTTGGAGATTGTGGTTAGGAAAACACTATGGTAGGTGAATTTTTGTATTTAAAGAGAGAAAAACTAAATCTTTCATTAAAAGCTAAAGGAGCCCCTCTGTTTAAGCTACTGTATGAAAAACACCACTTGTGTACTTTGATGGTCCACATGATGGAGATTCTGATGCCGTTCTGCATGTGGAGCAGGCCATGGAACGAGAGGGTGCGTTAGATCTAACCATTTTATCAACTTAAAAAACATCAGCTGGGATTCCTAAAATTCTAAAGCTGAGCAAAGAATTACCAGATTTTAAGTTTTTTCTTTACTTAAACCAAGCTAGAAAAATTTCCAGGAGTTCTTTCTCTCCATCTTCTTTTCTTTTTCAGGAATAAAAGATCATAAGCCATTAGAAACAGTGGCATCGTCATGCAATAATAACTCACTAGCTAATCTGACTCTGTCATCTGTAGCATTTTTGAGAAGCAATGCTGACCTTCCAGCCCGGAACTACCTCGATAAAGCAGCCCAGAGACCCTCGCTACACTTTGTATGGAAGCCATAAAAGTCGTCAGTGTGTCCACCCTCACAGTTGAGACCTCTGTACTCACTAGATCTTTTTATAGACTTAAAGAGTCAGACCTTTCCCTCACAGAGGATAGCTTTTCCAAGACTCCAAGGAAAGTCAGATCCTCAACTGTTCCAGCTTTGAAGTTCTAGCTTCAGTGCATTTGTTTAAAGAACCAGATCCCATATCATTCAAAAACTTACATGTTTAATTCAAAACTACTGTACAGATCTACATATTCTGAAAACAAACTCCTCCTTTCTGTTCCCTTAGTAGAGGGCATGTTGTTATGAAGTGGGCCTCTATCCACCCTGTTAACTCAGGGCTCTTGGTTGATGTGTATCGGGACAGTGTTCCTGGAGTTGTTTCTGTTACTCTAGCACAGAGACCTGAGTACTTGTCTGTCTGATCCCCTACTGTTTGTACGCAGCTTTAGTCTCAGTCACTCTGCTCTCGAGTGCCTTCAGAAAGCCC